TGACTTGTGAAGCGTTATTTGAAACCACGGTTCACCTGATATTTCATTAATGCAAGTGAAAGTATGTTTCAAGTCTCAACTCTGAAATTTTTGGCAGGTATTGGACTTTCGTTGAAGAGATGAGAGTAACTAGTAACCTCATATTAAGTTTGAAGTAAACATAGTTTTACTTCATATATTTGGTAATAACAGTGAAAAGTATTTTTAATTGTATAGAATTGAAATATTCGTCAGTAAGTGAAAATGTCTGAAGAAACAGAAATCCACAGAGAGTAGTAGTTTATATGTCATACTAAATCTAAACTAAGTAAGCCCAATATTTTATTTTGTTATGATTTAGTATTTTCAATCGTACAGAATGAAATATTTTTGTATACATCTACGTTTTACTGAATATTTGCTTAATTAACATATGTTTCTCTACAAAGTATTTTCAAAATGCACGATTTTATGGGCTGTGAATGTACAACGTAAGGCAAAGAGAAACATGCAGCTCTGAAGCTGCCCTTGTCCATATTACACTTGTATCAAAAAGGAAGCTGACTGGAAGCGAATGTCTCTGCTAATGTATTTTTATGATCAGTAGCTGTAGATTGGTACTTGTACAGTGATTAGCCCGTTTCATTTATTCGCAATCAGACAGTTGTGGCAAAAATGTGGGTGCATTTTAGGGATCTGAGTTAATGTTGTTATGTCAACAGTGGGCAGCTAAGCAATTTGCTGGCCATACGAGTAGCCCTGACTGAGTGGGACATTCACAAATGCAGGTGTTGTATTTATCAGAGACATTTGACACGTGAGTACGCATATACCTGTAGAAATAGAACTTGATAGAAGCAATAGTTAATATTTGTAACCGGGCCATCATAACATTCAAGCCTACACGTCTTCTTGAGCTTCTGATCAATTAGAATCCACATGACCACTCATCTTTAAAACTCGATTTTATACTATTTTGAACAACTTCTTGACTCTTTCGGCTATCTTTTTTTTTTTCACTAGACTTTGCCAGATATTTTTAAGACATTCATTCTGGTTCCATATTCTTGGAAAGCTATGTACTACATGATGATATTGAGAAGTACCCTGATGTAGTGAAAACTTTGAGGTGCTTTTGGCCTAACTGTAACTCATGTTGAGCTTATAAAGAAGGTATTCTGCTGACAGAATACTTCAACATGCTTACTCAATCTGGTACTGCTGATGGTCTTACCTTGGAATCTTAGGAAACTGCTTACAAAACTACCTCCTTGTGAATCTAAGGAAACTGCTTACAAAACTACCTCCTTGTCAATCTAAGGAAACTGCTTACAAAACTACCTCCTTGTGAATCTAAAGAAACTGCTTACAAAACTACCCCTTGTGAATCTAAAGAAACTGCTTACAAAACTACCTCCTTGTGAATCTAAGGAAACTGCTTACAAAACTATATCCTTGTGAATCTAAAGAAACTGCTTACAAAACTACCTTCTTGTTGTCAGACAAGATATTAGCTAGGGAAACACAATCAACATTTCACGTCTCATTCTGTAAATATTTATCTTTCTTTTTATCAGTGTTACAGAGTTTGTTTTAATGTTTATAATAAAACTAATGAAAAAGTCTTATAAAGTATTTTGTTGTCGTTTCGTATGTGACTTTAATTAGTTTAATTGGTCAATGTTCATTCATTAATTTTTCAAAAATGTTTTAGGATTTTCTTTTCCTACCAGTGATTAATGTTAAAAACGTGTCTTTTTATATATTTTTGACTTTTTTATCTATCATCATTTTAACAGTTTCTTTTTTATGCATTGAGATAGAATTATAAGCAGTTAGTTTAACTTTTGTATCATTGTTGAAGAATAGTTCATTATTACATGTAGTGTCATAGCCCTTTACTATTATTAAAGAGTTATTTTGTGTTTATGGTGCGATTTTTTTGTTATGTATTCTTTGAAGTTATCTTTATTAGAGGAGTTATCATAGTATTATTTTGTATTACAATGTGTACTCTTATTTTTAACTTATGATTCAGTACGGAATGGTACTGCGATGTATTTTTAAAATCTTTATTGATTTTGATACTGTGTTAATCGGGTTCCTTAGATTTGTGATCAATATGATATTTAAGCGGTTATTTTTGTCATTTTAACTTGATTTTCATGCGAATTATATTTTCGTTGTCATTTTTAAAGGTTTGTTGATTTTGCACTGAATTATGCATTTGATACTTGAATACTGTTCAAGGAACTTTGTACTTTTTCATTAAAAGTTATTTCCTATATAATTTATAATTTTGTTTCTTTGTTAAAGAGTTTTGTTTGCTTGCATGTCTTGTGTATGTGTGCTATATAAATATTTTGTCAGGCACATGAACTAAGGCACGACAGGAACACAGCTAATCCATATTTCTTATTTATATATATATAAGTTTTATTGGTTTTATGATTTGAGGTTGGTGCATCTGATTAACCAGGATATAGTAACCATGTTTATCTGATAATAAACAAGTTTTTCATTTATTATTATTATTATTGAAACAGGAAAGCTATATTTATGAAGAAACAAAATTGAATTTCTTAATTTCGAAACATGCTCAGTTGTTCATATGAGTTAGACACAAAATATTTATTTTTATATGAATTTCACCAAACAAGACAAGAAAAGGGTCTTGTATCTTTATCAGTATTTAAACATTTATTGATTGTATGTTAGAATTATTTGAATACAGTTTTGAATAAATATTGCACGTAAATAAGGAAATGTCTTAAATTATAATACCAACACCCCTTACAGTTCATAATATCCTTATAATATCCCAGAATCACCCATTATTTAAACCCCTTCCTATGTTATTCATTAACCCTAAAAGTAACAAATATTACAATTATTCATACATTACATAGCCGTTTAAAGTGTGAATTATATTTTATTTACATGAATTCTAAGTGAAAACCTTCAAAAAATGTGAAGTCAAAACATTTCCTACAAAAGCTTTTATTGGTTCGGAATAATATTCAAAATACACTAATAATGTTGTAATTATAGGCTTCAGTTTATACAATGTAAAAAATGTGAGAACAACAAACGTCGGTAATATAAGGCTCAAAGAAAAATAATTTTCAAAAATCTATGTTAAAGTTTCCTTATTTTTTACATTCTTAGGTAACTCATTTAGGTCTTTCCGATATGATGTTATTGCTGTTATAAAGTTATCGAGCATTAAAATTGATCAGCTTTTCGTTCCAGTAATACTTTCCAATACATTTAAGTATATATAGTTTATATTTTAACTTTACACTATTGTACAGGCTTGTTAGGACGAGAAAAGTTAATATTTGTTCTGTAATAATATTACTTAAACAGATAGAAAATATATATCGTGCTCAAACTCAGAGGTATATTATCAGTTATTTTTATTTTAAAAAATTCAAGACTTTTAGCTAGAGAATACCGTAGCTACTAATTTTCTGTTGGTGAACGTTATTTACACACAGAGTAAAATTTTCAGAACACACAGTCTACCGGGAAGTCAAGTCGCCTAGTTTACATATTGGCAAGAATTACACTAATAATGGAAATATTTTTGAAAACTCTCATTCTTAGCTCACTCAGTAAAGCTTTCCATAAAAAAAAAGGTAGTATAATAATTCTAATACTTTGTTATTTGTAGATTGCTCCTGATGAGTCTTTTCGCTCAGTGACATTGTAACCCCTTAATAGGACAATTTAGGAGTAAATAAGTTCGATATATTCAGCCCCCCAGTGGCAGCGGCATGTCTACGGACTTGCAACGCTAGAATCCGGGTTTCGATGTTTGCATGTATATTTATTGATATAGAATAATTCAATATTCTGTATCTTAAGCCTTATCTGAGTGATTGATGTCATTTGTTACTGTTTATACAGCCGTGGTCCTTTATCATCTTTCATTTGCGAAAGCGTACTTTGGGCTTTTCTTGTTTAAACCGCAGTTCTGAGCTTATTGTCGCGTTTATATTACTAATTCGTGTCGGCTAATGTTTTTCATAGTAAACCTTGAGCGTTAAGTCTAGCTGAAAAGCCCGATTGCCTCAATCAACTCTTTACAGCGAAAAAGTTTACGGGCATGTTTTTATGGATAAACGTAATCACCAAGCAACATTCTTCACTTAAATCATACAAGTCTCCAGTATTTGGCATTTTTAAAAGTATATATACCTAGACTGGTGAAAGCTAACACAAATAGAAACTGTCTTTATCAGCTAGTGTAGGTACTGGTTCTGTCGCTGTATTCTGACTTGTTACGTTCAACTTAGGATTTATTAACAGTTTTCAATATTACATATTGAGCTTGTGATTAAAACCCAATTATTATATAGGTGTTTACCATAGTATTAAAATCGAGCAATATGTTATTTTATAGTTATTCATTGAAAAATTTAAGTTGTTTTAATATTAAAAAAATTCAAAGTTATTTTTATAGTGTTAAAGTATTTATTTGCTATAGTTTTACGAGTGGTGTTTCTCAATATTAATATTGTCAATATGTATAGTTAAAATGTGTAAGCAATACTTTGTCGTTACAAACCTTTTGTTCGCAATTCCTTACAACCAATAACACTACAAATTCAGTGACAGGCCACAAATGTATTTATAATAGACTATGTATATAGTACATATGTTTACGCTATTCAGAATCCAACGTATGTTAACGCATAATTTAAAATTACAATCCATTACCTAGTTTTATTACAAATGCGACACTTGACACAAATAAATAGTAGAAAAACAAAACAAAAACAGCTTAATTTCCTTGGTCGTAACACACTACATATATTTCATGGTTTATGTAACTTTGACACAAGGTCTTTAATAAAGTCAGGTTGTTAACCACCAAGATAGATATTTTAGAAGTTGTACGATCTAATATTCGTTTGATGCTGCTTTACAAAATTGTGGCACCCGACAACCATTAAATCCTGTTGAGGATAGCAATACATCAAGACAACTTTCATCAATGTCAAGTTGAAGTTTTATCACTTTCTTCTTTTGTTTCCCGAACGTTTGCAAGCGTATTTAATAAAACAAGTGTCTTTTGATGTTTCTCCAACTGCCATAGCTTCTTGTAGGGAATGCAGCAATTTTTCGTACTTGGCACTCTCCACAGAAAACAGCCTGGATAGGTAAAAACAAATGATACAATAAATATCATACTTCTAAATCTATAACTAGCTATTGTGACTATCTATTTTTTTTCACAATCTAATGCTACGATTTCTTGTAAATGTGTATATAGTAAAGCGTAAATTGTTTCTATCATACAAATATATATATATACCATTAAATTTCATTTTGATACTTACAAAAGGTGGAGATTACATGAAATTTCGTGATTAAGATCTAACTTACACACAAAATAGAAATTTATTTCATGATTAAAATGACACTATTTTGTCTTCTATTTATAAAGAGCTAATTACTTGTATTTTTAGTAAAAAAATAGTTGTATAAAAACATGTTAATACCATTTACAGTTACAAAATCTTTTCGAGCAAATATAATAAAAATCGAATTTATTGAGAACATACAAAATACAGGAATGAAAATTTTACAGAACATGGAGAGGACTAAGAATGGGTCATATTTGTGTAATTTTGAATCTTACAACTCTGATACATAATGTGATGCGTATTAAACAGACCGTTTAATCAGTATGATTGTTAGTTACTCTAAGAATACTTAAGCTTTAAATTACCATTTGATGTTTCTTAGGAACTTCATTGCCATCTTTCCACCAGCAATATACGCACGGGCAGTGGAAGGGTGATCACAAGCTAGCCGGTTTAAACAGCTGTACTGGTCAGTATTTACTGACTTCAAGTACGTCGTCATCCATTCTAGATCTTCTGTTGATGAGGGTAACTTGGTAAGATTCAATCCCAATTCATCCAATTTTCGAGCTCCGAGCCCTCCTCCGAAACCAAACTGTGAAAGACCAGCTCCTCCTACTCCCGCAGCCAAACCAGTTCCCAAGCCCCCGAAACCAATAACTCCGATACCAAGAAGGAAGAGCTTTATGAGGAAAATTATGATAAGGTTTGTAATGTTTAGACTGAGCACTTGAGATGTGGTGATCTGTCGAACAGAAGGTCTATCTGCTCGAAATAGCATGTTGATTTTTTGAGAAGGTTCGGATCCCTTGTGTTCAGAGGTGCAGTATACGCTCACTCCGCATATTATTATTAGAAAAACAAGGTGTTGTGGCAATGCCATCCTCTACATAGAGTTAAAGATCAGTTCATTAGAAACAAATCTAAATTTCACATCTGTGATAAATAAATAAATTATTAGTAAAATAAGGTATTGTGGCAATGCCATTCTCTGTGGAGCGTTAAATACCAGTTCATTAGAAACACTTAAATTTCACAACATTAACAAATAATTTCTTTTACTCAATGATACAGTTGATTGTAGTCTATCGCTTTATAATCGGGGTTATTAAGCATAAAATCTGAATACTTGTCAAGCACAAATATTAACATTTGTACAATGTGTTTTACTGAGCATTAAGCAATATTAGGTTACCGAATGTAGAAATATATATGTATCAGAAACTTGTACGTTACGAACATTTTTGAACAGAGTGAATTTAAAAGATTTAGTGAAATACCAGGATTACATATAATATTCACCGACCTGTTCTGCTGTTGTGGTAACGTAAGGACTTCTACTGCAGCGATAACGTCTGATTATTAATACCAGGTAAGCACCACACAGAGATACTAACGCTTTTCTTATATATACTTTTACACACGCGTGTCGATGTTTCCGTTTCCATAATCACAAGTCTTTCAGCCAATAAAACTCTACGACCCATGTACGTCAACATGACCTCCAAGTTTCTAAACTAATAGTTGTGTATTTTTGAGTGTGTTTATTCAACTTGTTTTTCTTTTGAGAACATGCCAGGTTTTTAATTATCCTATTCTTCCTGGATAGTTTAACGTTAAGTTCCGTATTGTTATTTGAGGCGTGTGTGATTACGGGTTTTCGAAACAATACTTTTTGTAATTCAAACAACTTACCAGTAACTTTTATGGAGCTTGTGATTTGACGCTTGACTAATCCGTGTTAGTAGCGTGTTGTGCTGTTTAATTAATAGGGCTGGCAACACTATTCCATTGATATCAAGAGCTGGAACCAAAAAACAAATCCAACTTATTACTATTTCACTGTGTTTGTTCTAACATGTTAATTTTATTAGCAAATAGGCCACAAGTGACAATGTGATAACAGTGCTAGTCTGTTATGAAATGAGAGCTTAACTGCTCTAGGTCACTAACTCTAAACAGGATATTCAGATCGATAGGGCCATTTTCTCATAACTTTCATTTGTTTCCAGTCGAGTGTAGACGGATCTTTTTAATTAATAAGCGGATCTTTTAGTATAATAGACAAAGAATAAGTATAAGCTTTCTGATAATTGAACACAACAATTTTCCATACACAATGTAATAAAAAGCCAAGAACTGAACCCGAGAATATTTTGAGATGTAAGATTGACGTACAGTGAGGTGTATATTTTTCTGCCATGTGGTTCATTAACTGTACAATATGTGTGACCAGCCGGGATAAACATACACGTGTGAACTCGTTCAAATTTTATGTAAACTTGGCAAAAGGGCAAGGTTACAGTAAAATATTTTAAATTTTGTGAATACCGACTTCCTGTCAACGCTGCGAAGTTCAAATGTGTCATGTTCCATATATTTAAGATGCATAGAATTAGAGACTAATTAAGAAATATAAACTAGGCTTAGCCGCTTTAATAACTCATCATCACGAAGCCTGTAAAGAGAAAGGTTCAATTATCTTATTGATCTGCAACTATAAAGCTTTTCAAACTAAATTTTAACTCACTTTTCTTAGTATTTTAACTTAGCTATACTTTGTATGTCAACTGGTTACGATTTGTTTGTTTGTTATGAATTTCGCCCAAAGCTACACGAGGGCTATCTGTGCAAGCCGTCCCTAATTTAGCAGTGTAAGACTAGATTTACGTTTAGTTAATAATTATCCACTGCTCTTATTAGAAATATAACTTAATTTTATTCAATTACTTTACATTTTATTTGCTCCAAGGAACTCCAAATTTCGGAAATTATGACTAAATACTTGAAAACAGATTTTATATCAATAAACGATTATGAATTGTAAACTGGTAATAATGGAGATCAAACAAGAAGATAAAAAATTATTTAAATAAAATGATATCATATAGACAACTACCGACAAGAGACTAGTGCTAAATCTATTATGTTGATCAGGGTGTCTTTTGAGGACTCAACGGTAAACTTCAAGGCTTAAAACGTTAAAATTCGCGGTTCGGTTCCCGAGGTTTGTACATATCATATAGCCTATTATGCAGGTTTACACTTAAGCAATAAATACAAACAACTGATTAAGCTACTTACAGTTTCCCTTAAAGAATTAGTTGGATGAAAACACTATATTTTGTTCCTGTCTCTTAGGGCGAAACAAATGTAGTTTGTAATATGAAAAAACAAAACAAATCCTTAACAGCGTGATAACATCTCTAAATAAAAATAAACAGTTAAAATGCTGACTCAGTAATATACTGTCAATTAAAAATGTGAAATGTTCAAACGACCCATGACATATCAGACCTTTGATTGATTAGGTAAACCATCAGTTTATAATTTCAAATATCGGTGTGTATACCTCTTTATCTATATAATGCTTTATTTAAAAAAGTTCGCCCTATTACTTTGTAACATGCTTTATAAAAAGTAAATTACTGCACAGTATGCTCTTTTTTGTAGTTTATTAAACCAATATTCAGTATTTTTACTTTTTCAAGTTGTATTCTTCCACATAATAACAGTTGACACATAAGTTTTAATTACATCTGTAAATTAATATATAAAATAAGTAATTTAGCCATAGAGTAAACTATATATATATATATACTGAAAGTGCATTATTTTTAAGAATAGACATTTGTCAAGCGAAATGCCAAAACGTAGAAATTTATAACACGAGCTTATTTATATTATAGACGATGTCAGCCTAGTACAAAATAATCAGAGGTATTAGGAATTGAAAATTATTTACAAAAAGATATTGATAATAAAATTCGAACTTTCCAGACAAATGTTCCTTAGTTGTGTGAAGATGGAAATGTTCCTTAGTTGTGTGAAGATGGAAATGTTCCGTTTCTTATAGTATAGGTAACCAAATGTTTATATATATACATATATATATTGTTTGTAAAATATTAGTATCTTTAAGCTTAGTCATACTTATTTGAACTTAACATTATTATGTTCCTATCTTACTAACCACTACACAGCTAAGGTAATATTTCTTCATTTGATATTGACTACTTCGTATTCTCTAATGTTTGTTTTAAGTTTTTTCTGAACATCTGTAAGAAGTAGATAGCTAGTTAATTTTTGTCCACATCAAAAACGCGATTAAAAAACAAAACAAATAAATGAATTGTAGCTGATATCTAATTTTTACATAAAAATTCGCATTTTTGACTCGTGGGTCACTTACAGTGAAAGTGTGGAGCACGATTTTACAAATGGCCATAATTAGGACACTATATTGTGAAAATAGTTACATTTTATTGTTTTTCTTGAAAGGGTAAACAAAATTTTAGTGTTTACTTAACTCTTGAGTAAGGTTAATCAACAAGCATATCATGTTTTTAAAGGGTTAGCTTAAGTGATTGCTGCATCACTATATTTTCTTTAGATTATACCATCAAAACGTGTAATAGTGATTTGACTAGTAGAGTGTGTTACCCTGTGAACTCAAAACTCACAAAAATGTGGGGTGGAAGGTGACATCTGAACTAGATATTATTCATCTATAAGTGGACAAAATAAAGATTATATACATATATATTATTTTATTTTTGAGCATATTTGATTATACACAATACTCATAATCATGATATAACAGATTTGTAACTACAATCTTTCTCTTATACACTACCGGCATTTGTGTTTAAATTTTTTTTAATTATAATAAATCATTAAAAATAACGTTTTATATTTACACAATAAAAACTTTATTGAAGCCATACGGCTTCCACCTTAAAATATCACTCTACAAGTCCATGTTTCGACGTGATCTACGTCATCCTCAGGAGTAACTTACAATACTATTTTATACTTTCTCCCTTGTCGCATTACTTCATTGTTATTTACATATTTCCTTAGTGTAACTAAAAAAATAAAATAAAAATTATAATGTATCTTGCCATATATCAAAGTATTGACTTGTAGGTCCTTCATCTCTGTTTAATACTTGTTTTCGTTTTTGATCTTTCATTATTTCTAATGCTTCTCTAATATTTAATGATATAAAACTTCAAGGCTGAGCTAAAACTAAAGTTTTTCCCAATAATATTGTATGTTGGGTAGTTTTTACATGTTGGGCTATAGCTGAAATTTCTATTTTATTATTCTTATGTAACTTTTGTGTTCTTGCAATTTATATTTTAAATTTCTTGACCAATAAAAACACTACCACATTCACATTCTATCTTGTATATACCTGTCTTATCTGTTAATTATATTCTGTCTTTAGCATTCCCTATCACATCTTTTATCTTATTTATTGGTTTAAAGATAAGGTAAAAATTCTGATACTTTTTAAATGCTTGTTACTATGACTTGTTAAACCTGGAACGTAAGGTAAACTTAGAGTTTCTTTTTTTAATAAACAAATTTTAATGTGGTATCTTTAACGGAATTTACATTTTTATTAACTTCTCAAATGCTTTGTCTACTATATTTGGATCAAATCCTCTATCAATAGCTATATACTTAATTAATAACAATTCGTTATTTCAATCTTCCTGTCTTGAACATATTTTTAAAGCTCTATAAACATACGTATAAAATGCTGATATTTTTTGGGTTTTTATATGACATGATTCTTTGTGTGGCGGCATAACAACAGCAAAAGGTTTTCTATAAACTGATGTTTCTAAGTTACCTTTCGCTTCTTTCCTAACTAATACGTCTAAGAAATTAATGCTATTATTATCTTCAATTTCACACGTTTGTTTGAAGTTAAGCACAAAGCTACACAATGGGCTATCTGTGCTCTGCCCACCACGAGTATCGAAACCCGATTTATAGCGCTGTAAGTCCGCAGACATACCGCTGTACCACTGGGGGGCAATTTCACACGTGAATTGAATTGCTGGTTCTTTACTATCTAAATGAATAAAAAATATTGTAGTTTGCTGTTGCCATACCACGAATGTGTCATCTACATATTGTTACGTCTCCGTTCG